TATTTTTTTTTTAGTAGAGATGGGGTTTCACCATGTTAGCCAGGATGGTCTTGATCTCCTGACCTCATGATCCGCCCACCTCAGCCTCCCAAAATGCTGGGATTACAGGTGTGAGTCACCGCACCAGGCCTTCCATTTCTGCTTTCATAAGCCCTGAAACCAGTCCTCTGAGCACCTTAAAGGCACCTTGGCCAGTAGCCCCTCTTCACCCCATCCCAAGAGCAGTTGAAGTCCCAGCAATGCTCCTTCGGAGGCTTTGGCTCCCTAAAGTCATTCTTCAGCCCTGAAATCCTCAAGCCCAGTCACTTCCCGGAGTCAAAATTAGCCAACACAGGTGTAATGAGCAGCAAGGGGACAACGGTTAAGCTATTAATAAAGCAGCTACTGATGTGAACACTAAGCAGCCAGGGGAACCAGCTCCAAAGTACAGCTCCATAGCAGAGGAAAAGGAGGTAAGTTAACACATATACTCATAACTTTATTTTCTCCTTTGACTATGTCTGCAACAGTCTCACAGCCCAACTGTGACGTGAGGAGAGAATGAGGTAAATAAATCACAGTGGCTTTAGGAAACCTTCTTCTTCTTAGAGAAGAAAAAGGCATTTAGAGAAACTAGAGCTTGCAAAAAGAGATCAGAGCCCAGAGCAGGAATTAGAGTCTAGAAGACAGGAAAGAAACCAGGGATTACTGCTTCTTTGACTAATTGAAAGCCCTCAAGGCAGATGAACTACTAGAGTTAGGAAAGCAGGTAGAACAGATTCCTACCATGGAGAAAAAAGCAAATTAGAAGGACTGACACAATTATCGACTCTGACCCCCAGCCCCCAGCTTTTTTTTGGATCAAGCACCCTAGTAACACGAGTGTACCTCCCTGTAAGGGGTGCATCCCAGATCCCCAAATCTGGGTTACAATATTGTCAAACAAAAGAAGAAAACATTTTTTACTGAAAAACTAATTCTTCACTGGTCTCTTTTAAATAGTGAGCTTCCAATACAGCATTTGAGTATGATTCAATATAAACATTTCAGGAATAAATACAACAGGCAGATTGAGTCACTTGTGAAAAATAGCACACATTGGCTATATGCTCAACACTCTTCTGAGTGCCTTCCTACATTTAGTCATTTAATCCTCACATCACTTTTCGGGGAGATACTGTCAGTATCTCCACTTTTAAAAGGAGTAAACTGAGGCATGGAGAGGATAAGCAACTTGTTTAAGAGCTAAGAAGTCATAAACCCAGGATTCAAACTCAGGCAGTCTGACTCCAGAGGCTACACTCAAACATCATGCTATACTAGTTATTTCTCATGGGGTATTCTGCCCTTAGCACCTGGCTTCTTGACCTGGCAGAGAAAAGAGACCCTAATTGTAGACCCTAACTCTGCCAACCCCAGTATCATGTCCAGCCAGCTGCTTCTGTCCAGCAGGCTCCATGGGTGCTAGGTGAAGAGAGATTATCATTGTCAATCATAAAAGTGACAAGGGCATGACATCAAGGTCGAGGCTCTGGGAAAAGCTTTGAACATGAGATGATTCCTGGTCTCATGCTGGTTGACTGTTTCCACCTGCTGACATACATATAACTGACTTGACTAATTGGTTATATATACATATATATATATATGTATCTCCACTGATGTGAGAAGAACTGACAGAATTCCACAGGAAAGGTGCCATCCAGAAGCAGAGGCAAGAGTTAGCATTCCTTGAAGTTCCCCAAAATATATGGGGAACAGAGTCCCAGACCTTTTGGGGAGCTATGCAGCCTATAATGACGCTTAGAAATACAGATGCATGGGGACAGGAAATGATGCTTCATCTCCTCGCAAACCCTCCTGCTGTCTCTATCTAAAAGACAAGCATGGAAATGCTCAGGTGAAAGCTGTCCTCAAAAAAAATGAACCTACAGGGAAAATAGTTTACAAAGTACAAAGCCTAAACCTGTGAGCAAGTAAGATGCCCAAGACACTGTGAGAAGCCAAGTGTCAGGGCTCATTCCCCTGAGGCCTGAAAGAATGAAGCCAAACAGCACTGGCTCCCATCTGTAATTTCTACAATAAGCAGCACTCTCCCAAAATTTAGCCCAACAGATAAAGCTGGTAACATTACCAGCTCTAAGTAATTCCTGCACCTGCAACTGTGTCTTACTCATTGTGTGTACAATAATGTTTGTTCTAACTTCCATCAGCAAGCCAGTGTGCAAATGTCCCAGGAGACAGAGATTCAGTTAAAGAAAGCAGTAAGAAACTGCTGGACTACACCAGTAGTCTAGCCCCAAGAACAGACATTTCGCTAAGTCTACTTGTTTTAGACAGGACATTCCACCCTGGAGACTTTGTATTAAATTTCCATGTCAAAGAATTATTTATCCCTCCCACCAAGCAGTAGAGTCTAGGATTATAACTATATTCCCAAGATAAAATGCTGAGAGAGAGCAGTCCCTCCTCTCTGCCAGAACTCACAACATTTCTTCTCTGACATTCGAAGATTTGGGGTTTTAGTTTCATAGCTGTTGTTGTTCTGTTCTGAGACAGATGCCCCAGACATGGCAGCTCTTCAGATGTCTGAAAGAGAGAAGTAGAATGTAAAAAAGGGAAGGGGGAAGAAGGAAGACATAACTTAAAAGAAAACTCATTGGATCCGTGTGGTATAAGTAAAAGCACCCTGGGCCAAGAGTCAAGTTCAGTCTTGTTTCTCCCAATTAGCAGCTACTTCTCTAGCCCTGTTTCCTCACCTATAAAAAGAGTAGCGCTAGAACCTTACATTTATCTGCTGACTTACGAGTCTACATTTACAAACGTTATCTTCTTCAGTCCTTCCAATAATCTTGTAATTAGACAGATTTTGCTACCATTATTTCTTCTCCTCCTTTTACAGATTGAAAATTTGAGATTCATCGGATTAAGTGGCCTGCTCAAGGTTTCATGACCTCAGATTCTAGTTTTAAGAATCTGGGCAGAGTAGTGGCAGCAGTTGGGGTGGGGTGGGTTATGAATAGACCAAGTTCATTACCAAGAAAGTAACTCCAATCTAATGGTAGGGCTGTTTCGAAAAATGTGGGGCCGGGCACGGTGGCTCACTCCTGTAATCCCAATACTTTCGGAGGCTGAGGCGGGCGGATCACGAGGTCAAGAGATAGAGACCATCCTGGCCAACATGGTAAAACCCCGTTTCTACTAAAAATACAAAAATTAGCTGGGCGTGGTGGTGCGCGCCTGTAGTCCCAGCTACTCAGGAGGCTGAGGCAGAAGAATCGCTTGAACCCGGGAGGCGGAAGTTGCAGTTAGCCAAGGTCGCGCCACTGCACTCCAGCCTAGGGACAGAGCCAGACTCCGTCCAAAAAAAAAACAACAAAAAAAAGGAAAAATGAAAAAGAAAGAAAAGAAAAAAGTAAAAAAAAAAAGGAAAAATGAAAAAGAAAGAAAAGAAAAAAGTGAGGGACGTGGGAAAATCTCCAACATATTCCCTGAAGGAAAACCAGTAACTGGACCTCAAGACAGCCCTAGCTAGCACGTCACTCATTTCTCCTCTGGTGCATTCTCAAGCCCTGCTCCGCACCCTCTCCCTAATTACCTCCGGGACTCAGTCTAAAGAACACCGGAGAGCTGAGGTGGTAAATGACTTCCCCAAGGTCACCTCGGGAAGAGGGGTAAGCCCTGATTCGAACTGGAGTGGGAAAGTCCTCAGCTCATGCCCCCAATTCAGACAACAGGGGGCTGGTGAGGACGGAAGGTCCTGCGCCTTCAAGAGCCTTACACGATTCCTTCACTGACCACACAAATCCTCCAACCCAAACACCGGCTCTGGCTCCCGGTCCCAGAACGTCCGCGCTCCCTGCCATGCCGGGCGACCAGTACCTCGCCCCGCACTTCATCCGGGGGCACGCAGCCCCGGCATCCAGCCCCGCTAGACCCCACCCGGCGCTGCGCAACTGTGGCTCACCCTACGATCTCTCCTAAGATCCCCCCCTGCCTTGGCCCCGGCGCCTCCCCTGTAACACTACCGAACCGAGCCGACAGCTTGTGGCCGGGGCCGGCGCTACAGTAGCCGGCAAATCATGTGAGCCCGTCTGGCCCCGCCCCCTCGCGCGTAGGTCCTCACCTGGAGAGAATCATCCACCAATCGGGCGCCTGCAGGGCCCAGGGGGCGGGGCCGGGTCGCAATCGCCTACGCGGGCTCGGGAAGGCTGGTGTAAGTGGGAACCAGAGAGATCACAAGCACCCGAGTTTCCCAGTGCCGCGGAGCCTGGTGGCATTGTTGCTTGGTAACTAATAGGGCTGGGGGCGGGGTTAATAAAAAGCCTGGCTTTTTTCTCACTCTCGCGAGAGTGGACTATTCAGTAGGCGCCTTGAGAGGGGGTGTGCCCTTTGAGTGACGAGAAAATGCTGCAAAGATTAACGCTCTCATTACTGAATCCCAACAGAACCTCGTTAGATCCATAAATGGGAACGTAAGCTTTAAAGATGTTTTTGCTAGAATAAACTACCACAACACTTGATCTAATTATGCCTTAGGGTGTATACATACCCCGTTCCACAGGTCAGACGCTGTAACCTAAGAAACTCAACCACTCTCATCGTTGAACCAGAAGCTTCCCTGGACCCACCCATACACCCCAGTGGAATTTCTTTTTTCTTTTTTTGAGATGGAGTTTTGCTCTTGTTGCCCAGGCTGGAGAGAAATGGCACGATCTTGGCTCACCGCAACCTTTGCCTCCCGGGTTCAAGCGATTCTCCAGCCTCCGAGTATCTAGGATTACAGGCATGCGCCACTACGCCCCCCTAATTTTGTATTTTTAGTAGAGACAGGATTTCTCCATATTGATGAGGCTGGTCTCGAACTTCTGACCTCGGGTGATTCACCCGCCTCGGCCTCCCAAAGTGCTGGGATTACAGGTGTGAGCCACCGTGCCCGGCTACCCCAGTGGACTTCTAACCGCTCCTACCTTCCCTCCTACCTACCCCCCAACTCAGGCTGTATCATCTGTTGTAGTGTCTTGAAGAACCAAGGAGGAAAATTGCACCAGCAGAAAAAAATTGAGTCATGAAAGATGTGAAAAGATAGAAACATTACATATCATTTATTCAGAAGCAAAGTCTTTTACAGTGGAGGTGAGTTTGGACCAAGTGAACTACACTTTTCATAGTTGCCCCAGCGGGCCCGTTTGATGCTTGATAAACCCACTCTAGACAAGTGGGACTTGCTGTCTGGATACCGGCTGGATAAAGAACAATGAGTATAGATTTCTTGGAAAAGAGACATATAAATTCAGGGATGTCTTTATTCCTCCTTCGCCTGGGAATTAAACTCATTCTTCCAAAAGTTCAAACAGTTATCTCCTCTTTGAGACTTTTTACAACTCCCAGAGTGCTCTAGTTGCCCTCTCTATGTCTATACAACTCTGTCTTTATTCTTTCAGCAAGTATTTGTTGAACATTTTTTATTTGCGATTCACAGTCCTGGGTTCTAGGCACACACGGTTGAAAAGGTACACATAATCTAGCATTATCACGTTGCTTTGAAATTCAGTGGCTGTGTGTCTCACACCCCACCCTGTCTCCCAACTGCAATCAATACTTGTTACAATGAAGGCAGGAATGAAGTCTTCATATTTGCATGCCCAGGAACTGAACTGGAATCTGATGACACGCACTACATGACTCCTCCTTACACTGCCACCACCTGAATGAGGCAGCTGCCCTGGGCCCAGATGCTGACCTCATACTGTGCTTTCTGATGTGGCAAATAGACGTTTTCAAGCAGTCCCAGGGAGGCAGAAAGGCCAGTCCTTTGGCCCCTGGAACCTCAATGAGTCAATGTTTAATGCAGCCACGAGTCTAGTCACAAGTATAATTGTTTTTGACTGGTCCTTTGACTCAGTGACCATTCCTGGCATTCGTTTGCGTTGTGAACTATGATTCTGTTTCTCCTAATGTAGTCTGGGTGTAGCGTGGAAGCCCCAATTTAATAATTTCCGACCTCACTTAGTGCAAGGTCACATTCCAAGCTCCAGAGCTTCATTAAGGAACTCCTTCCCCCGCCCTCTTTTCTTAAGCATATATGCTACCGACGCGGAGGGCACCTCACTCGCTCTACAAGTAGCAAGACCCGTTGTCCTTTAGGAATACGGAGGTTTACATCTTCGTTCTGAGGGTGGGGGAAAAATCAGTTGTCACTTTAAAAGAGTTCGCGCTTAAGGCAGAAGCCGCGCCGAAGCGTCGCGAGAACTGTAACAACCCGCAACTTCTCGCGATGTTTGGCCCTGCTAAAGGTCGCCATTTTGGAGTCCACCCGGCGCCTGGTTGCCCCGGCGGCATCGCTCAACCGGCTGCCGGGACCAAAGCTGGTCCCGCGGGTGTCTGGCCTGTGGGCAGCCGGACCGACACGATGTGGCGGCTCCGCTGCAAGGCCAAGGACGGCACCCATGTTTTGCAGGGGCTGTCCAGCCGGACCCGGGTGCGGGAACTCCAGAGCCAAATTGCCGCCATCACCGGGATCGCCCCCGGCGGTCAGCGAATCCTCGTCGGATACCCTCCCGAGTGCCTGGATCTCAGCAATGGGGATACCATTCTGGAAGACTTGCCCATCCAATCTGGTAAGGAATCAGGGCTGGGGCCAGGGAAAGTCCCGGGAGGACGGAGAGGGGCGTGAGAGAGAACAGAACACTAGTCAAGGCAAGGTGGCTGTGGGTCGGCGGGGGACTTTGAGGCCTGGGGCGAGGATAGATCAAAGAACAGAGAACTCTGACGGGGGCCGGGGCAAGTGTCTAGCAACTCCTTGTCTTGACACAGGGTTGAAAGGGAACCCAAAGCCTTGAAGTCCCCCTTCCCCAATCCGCTTTCTGGTCGGCTTTGAAACTATCCCATTTTGTTTTCCGTCGGCGTCCACAAAAATATGAAGAAGTAGGGCCTATTTTCTCTGTCCTTATGTCTCTTTTCCCCTGTATCATCGATGAGATCTCAAGGATGCAGGATTTTTTTTTTCTTGGTTCATTTTTGCAATCCCCTTCATAGATACTTCGTTTGACAGGCATACTCATTTTCGAGTCAGCTTTTAAACACCCACTGAAAGCCCTTTCAATTTCTAACCAGTAGCAGTTATTTTTGTGCCATATCAAAACTTGAACATCAGTGTTTATAATTAAAAGCTTTCAGTTGCTGTATCAAGGACGCTGTAAACACTCAGAGTAGATAAGTTCCCAGAGAAGGAGACCCCCCTAGCGGCCTACTCTGTAGTGAGCACCTTCTGTAAAATACTGTATAAGGAAAGGAAATTTTGTTTTTGAAATGTATCTTTTTAGGTAAGCTTAAAGTTGTTTACTCCAGACCCCTTCACTAAATTGGGATGCAACCTGAAGTGTCTTTGTTCTTTGTTCTTTTTTCATCTTTATGAAAATTCAGTGAACAAAGATTGTTACTGGTAACTTATTTGCAAAGCTGTCTTCTCTTTAGTAACCCCAGTTTATGCTTTAACTCCTTCAGTTTGTAATTTACAGACTTGGCTAGTGAACACTCGGTTTCTTCTATAATTTCTCTGCAGATCGGGATTTGTTTTATTTTTAACAGGTGACATGCTGATCGTTGAAGAAGACCAAACCAGGCCCAAAAGTTCACCTGCATTTACTAAACGTGGTGCTTCTAGTTACGTCAGGGAAACTTTGCCTGTGCTTACCAGAACCGTGGTCCCAGCAGACAATTCTTGCCTCTTTACCAGTGTGTACTATGTCGTCGAAGGAGGAGTCTTGAATCCAGCTTGTGCCCCTGAGATGAGACGCCTCATAGCACAAATTGTAGCAAGCGATCCGGACTTCTATAGTGAGGCAATACTGGGAAAAACAAATCAAGAGTACTGTGACTGGATCAAAAGGGATGACACTTGGGGAGGAGCAATAGAGATATCGATTTTGTCCAAGTTTTACCAATGTGAAATATGTGTAGTGGATACACAGACAGTAAGAATTGATCGTTTTGGGGAAGATGCAGGATATACCAAAAGGGTTCTGCTTATTTATGATGGCATCCACTATGATCCACTTCAACGTAACTTCCCTGATCCAGATACACCTCCTCTGACCATTTTCTCCTCTAATGATGATATTGTTCTTGTACAAGCACTGGAATTAGCAGATGAAGCTAGAAGAAGGAGACAGTTTACTGATGTCAACCGCTTCACCCTGAGATGCATGGTATGTCAGAAAGGATTAACTGGACAAGCAGAAGCAAGGGAACATGCCAAGGAGACAGGCCATACCAACTTTGGAGAAGTGTGATCTATGCATGAATGAGGGTTGAAGTCTACTACCTCACAGATCCAGAAGGCTCTGGGTTTTCCAATAAGCTGTCATAACCCTAAAGAACAAAGGACACAATGCTTGAACCATCCTTTTGACTTAAAACCACTAAGACACTGAAATTCCTTGTTAAGATTAAAATTAGTGTGCAAGTTTACAGATGTGTGTCTACAGTGGTAAACTGTACATACATGCCTCTTTCTGCTGGAGTGACAGAATAGGTGATCCTTGCCACCTACTGACACTGACCTGAAGATTGAGATTGAGTATTATAAACTAGCACCCAGCAGCTTTAACTTGTAGAAGAAAGCATCACATTTTGGGTAATGTGGAAGGCCTCCTGTGAGTCCTCTGGACATTTACCACAGTGTCTCCAGTAACCGAGTCTTTTTAAAAACTCTGAATGAGTTAAGTTTCTAAATTATGAATTGATTCATCAAATGAAGATACTCAGAATTGTCCAAACTGATTTTATATTGCAATTTGGTACACTTTATAAATGTGTGCTTAACCACTGATAAGTACATCACAAGCAATTTTTACAGGGATGAGTCTCATCCTTGAGAATGTTATCACAAAACAGGAACTGATTGTGCCCTGTTTAAGATCTCTAGTGTATAAAAAGTAGAATGTATGAGGGAAAAGGTGCCTGAGCAGCTTCCTGAAGCTTTAAAAGACCGTTGGCCTCGTGTTTTAATGCAATTCATGTACTGCTCTTTGTCACATTGGATAACATTTTAAAGTTAAGCAGGGTATTTTTTTAAATTGGAA